GGGGGGGGGGGGGGGGGGGGGGGGGGGGGGGGGGGCGTGGGACAAACGTATGCGGCTCAGGCACTGGTACCGTCGAAACGACGGGGTTGAAGATGCCACGGAAAAAAAGGGGGGTAGGGAAACTGGAACGAGGGGGGGGAAAAAGGCTGATTTGGGACGACCATCAAATCGATCCATGATGTACAGCAGCAGTCAATATCAACTATGCAGTCCACGAAAACATGAAAGTCCACATGCAAAGTCATGACATGCAAGATGATAGCTGCGTTCTGATATAAGACGTGTTATGCTGAGTGGACGCTGCGGCAATCCACGCTCAAAGAAGAACATGAGCACATGGAAGACACGCAGGCATGTCCAGACATGGTCATGAGCGCGAGCGAGACGGTTCTGTATACTCAAGACGCAAGAAAATGGAATGGTCCGCTACGCGGAGTAGTCCTGAACTGCTATGCGAGACTCAGGAATGTAAAGAAAACGTCGGCAACGACGACCATGAAGGAAGCTCACGGAGGGGAGGACGTAGGAAATCGAACAGCTTTTAGCGATCCTGCTGCACTACAGGTGTAAAATGTACAGCTCTAACATGCCATTGTCTGTAAAGCTTGAACTGTCGCACTAACTTCTCGAGTGTAGACCGCAGAGCGCGAAACGACGGACCGTGTTGGATGTAAAGCTGAGTCAGGTCTTCAAGCGGTGGGACGATATGCACACGAGGTCGGGTAAATCGACAGACGAGAACGGTACGGGATCAGCACTCATAGGGCTACGGAACTGGCTCGCATGAACTGGCACACCCATGGTAATGCTTCGCTGAATGGTGTCACTACGAAACCCCAACAATGGTTCGCTTCCAACATGTTCCAACAGCAAAGAGTTACCATAGAAAGCCTCGGACATGTATACTTGCCATGGAACTGGACACACCACTGGATCTGCAGATAGAAAGGCTCGATTGTCGACGTACCGAACAGTGCTCAGAAAAGGTCGGGAAGAGTGTAAGAAGGTCGAGTAGTTCTCACGAAAGAGTAGCTCCAGCAACGCAGCCGCAAAGAATCGATGCAGATGGCGAGCCCATGCTGGCTCCTTTAACTTGACGAAAGACATGTCGTCCCACCGTAAAGTAAGAGCGTTGCAAGAAGTACTGTACCAAAGGAACAATATGACGAATGCGGAGTTTGTTGACACGATGTCGGAGGCGCTTCCATGTGCCGCGAAAGGCTCTGGTTGAAATCGAAAGAAAAACGTTCGGATCGGTAAGCTGTTGAAGTTGCCGAAAGCGTGCAACTAAGATTTGAACGGCTTGAAGAAATACGAACATGTGGAACTGCATTGTAGAAGCCGGCAATATCCTGTTGTTCCAAGGTCAAATCAAAGTGAAGATGCAGAGAAGGCATCACCTTCCATGTTGCCCGTAGGATGCTGGGAACTGTAGCAAGGAAATCATCTTGCGTGAAGACCGTCTGTGCGATCGCATTAAGTGCAATGCTCAACAATTTTATCCAAAGGCGTGGTCCAGGTGCGAGTGTATGAGACAATCGGTCTGGCCTTCATCCACTGCTAGCACTCTTTAGGAAGAATGTACGCGCAGGGTAGTGTTCGCTTCCAACGGAAGGTTCAAACTGCTTGTCGAACCTACCGTGGTTGTACCAAGCGCAAGTTGTCAAGAACAGTGTGGCTTGGTTGTGTACATAAAAACAGAAAACGTCAGTGTCACGAAAAGTAGACTGTAGTAACCGCTCAAAGTGTACCGGACATGCAACATGCAATGTGGAAACCGCATGATTTGCTGGTGTCCATCCGATGCTTGCAGTTGTGTCATGGTTTTGTGCCACTGGCGGCTGACTGGATTCCGTAGTTCTGCCTGCAAGATCGGGACCTGTTTCTACCTTTTCACTGTCCTTCTCGTGCCGTTGTTGAGATTTCGAATCCTTCACTTGCCATCTGCTGTGTGGCTCCGAGTTCTTGACGACTGGCACGGAGCTGAGCATTCTCGGCCTCCAATCTCTGCACCGTAGCCAGCATCTGCTGGTGTGCGCCGACCGGCGTGCGAGACTTCAAGAACTGGCGAAGATCCAAAGCAATCTTGCTAATCAACTGCATGCGGCTATCCCAAATGTAGACATCCTTACGCTCGGCTTCTGGCATTTTGTCACCAGAGTAGTCCTGAAGCACTTGCTGTAAGTCAAACACTGGCTTGCCGTCGCCAGTAGGCGAAGAGCCCAGTTACTGGCTTGCTTGTGCAGGAGCATTCCCGAAATCGGCTGCTCTCGGGTGAAAGCTGTGCTGCTGACGAAGCGCGGGAGAGCAACATTATACATCAAAGTAGAAGCAACATGTAGGGAATCCAGTCCCCGCGTGTTCGGCAACTTCCAGGCATGCTCCCATGTCGATGCCAACATCAAGATGCCACGCAGCAAGTGCTCACTGCACTTCTTCGTGATCTTCAAAAATTTCGATCCACTACACAGACATCATCTACCGAGCTTCCACCCACCCTGCCTCAGATGGTAGACTTAGGCCAGATCGATTGCGTGTTTGTGACTGCTTCTCTCTGTGTGTGTGTGTGAAAGCTACTGATTCCATGATCATTCATGAGTGCATGCTGCAGTGACCTTGAAGTGTGGAGTTATGCCTGGCGCTGACCGTAGATCGGCATATGCACATGCATTCATTTCATGTTCCATGCATTAGTTTGATGCCAGTTTTCTGTTCGAGAGGGCTGGTTGTACTCAGTTACTTTTGCTGGCCATGTCGCATCGCCGAGCCTATCGTGACGATTTACGCTCCCGACCCTCCGATCGGCGCCGTCGCTCACGCTCCCCTCGCCGATGCTCGCCGCGTTCCTTTCCCTTCGCACGCAGTCGAACGCTCCCGCTCTCCTCGCGGATCTGACAGTCGGAATGCTGCTAACGAACCGGTAACTTATGGTTATGAACATTGAACGACAGTCGACATGAGATCATGAAGCTTTTGTTCAGACTCCCGAAGCTGTAACTGGACCACGTCCAGCTGTGATTGCTGAATCACAAACTTTAGATACAAGCTGTCTCTCAAAAGAGATAATCGCCACATCTGAGCAAAACTGCAAAGTCATGATCGGCAGCCAGAAGCTAAGCTTAATATCTTAAAGCAACATATAGGAAGCTCCAGGCTGCAGCGAGGTCTGGATCTGATCGCAGAATGCATCGTATTCGGAGACTCCAGGCTTACATGGGAGCTGAACCTGATGATCGAAAGTCAAGGCTAGCACTCTGAGGTTCCTGCGTGGCACCACAACGCTCTTTGAGCACGGACTGAGATTGTATGCCGGCAAGGGCACCATCTGAGGGCAGAGCCTTTCCGAGTCCAAGCTGTACAAGCGGCCCAGAAGGATGCAGTCACAGGCAAGCCCACAACCCAAAACAACTTGCAACGCTCGGATTTCAACCAGCACTCACATTTTATCCATTGCCTGTTCTCCGTTGAATGCTGCGAAGCGCCTCACCCATTTCCAGGTAGAGTCTGGTAAGCTGGGGTTGTGTCTAAGAGCGAGGACTTGTCCGAATGAGATTTCTGTAATGGTTCCGCAAGTGCCTTAGGCCCTGGAGTATTGACAAGAAGTGCTGCAGGAAGGCAGTGGGATCCTCACCGAAGTCGGGAGTCAGCAAGCCCGCCGGCGAGGGATCATTATGAGGGTTGTCCCAGGCTTGCACCTCTTCATCAGATGATGCCACAGTTGCTGCCGTGTCCAGCGAAGAAGCATGCAAACGTTCCATCGCCGGTGTTGTTTGCAATGGCTTATGCTCCAGTCCTTCTGGTGTCGTGAGCCTCGCAGACATCTGATTCACGCGTTCTTCCGCTTCCATAGCTTCCGAGGCATCTGTGCGAGCAACAGCATCAAGTTTGAGAGCGTGCCACAGGCTTATGGCAGCCTTTTCCATCGCGCAACTCGAAACCGTCGATCTTGCAGCATAAAGCGCCATACTCAAGAGTCTGGACACGTCCTCATCTCCGAAACGCCGTGCCAGTCTCATCGCATGGCCTATGCAAGACTGGAGCTTGCAGCGGTCCATTGCCAGGAAACGAATTACAGTAGCACTTAGTTAGTGATGTGCCGGATTGGCCTCGTAGCAAAGATGGCTTGAGCCAAAATGGCTCCAGAATGCTACAGCTAGTACGGATCAACCAAGCACGGTTATACCTCCTGTTGCTGACCGCACGTTCTAGTATGAGCAAGGTAGTGAAGGCCATAACCCGTCTTCCAGCCGTCCGTGATGTCAACCACTTATGACACAATCCACGACAATCTGTCAGCACGTTGTATATCCGTAAGAGGATTCAATCACGACGCTGCCGTCCACGCCAGGGTACGGATCACAGCACACCACATCCGGGTGCGCCGGCATGGCCACGAAGGCACAACAACACAGGGTAAGGCTGCACTGGTGATTGTTGCCGGTCGCACCTATCTGCGACAATTTTGTACCGAAGCCAGATCCTCAGTGTTCCAATCTAAGTGCTTCGATGTCGAAGTAAGAGCAGACCAGAATCGGCTCCTCGCAGGGTTCTTGGCTTTGCCCCATGTGATTGCAGTCAGAAGCAGCTCCGAAAGAAATGTATTGTGAGAAAGTAGGGAACCATGCACAGCAAAGACAAACATTATGTCACAAGCAGTGTTCGCAGGTACGTGGTTTGAGCGTCCCCAATCCATATCACGACAAACTGGAAAGGTCTTCGTTGGGCAGTGCCTTCCAGAGTGTCCACTGCTCCCGTGCTGCCCCCCTGCAAACTGCTAAAATCACAAGCTTCACTCCCTGCAACCTGACAGATCTGTAGTCTTGAGCAGGGTCGAGACGTGTCCGCAGACTACCCTTAGTTTAGCTGTCAGGGTGTAACAACAACAACGACAACAGCATCACCACCACCACCAACAACAACAGCAACAACAACCACAACCACAACCACAACCACAACGACAGCAACGACAGCAACGACAAGAAACCCTGCTCCCCGACAGGTCCTAACCCAACGAACAAACAAATATATTTCCACCGAGTGGCGACACCGATCTCGAGGCGTAAGACTCCCAGGCCGAACCTGGGGTCGTGTTTTATATCATGGCCTTGTGTTGGAAGGTAAGGTTTCGGGCTTGAAGGTTTTGAGGGTTGAACTCCTTTGTTTTAGGATGCTAGGGTTCTTCGGTGTACGGGGCTTCATTGAGGTTTGGTGTGGTCTTAATAAACTGTGTTGGGTTTATATCGGGTTCTTCTCCAGTGTGGCAACTCCCGAGTAATTCATTGGAGAACGATTTTGAAGATGCTGCCTTCCGCCCTGCCTCCAGCTTCATGGTTTCAAATTTGGTGGTGTGTCATGGTGGTCCTGGTCGTCGTGGTCTTGTCCTTCAGGGTGTTGATGGTGCGTGGTCTTTCACTGTTTGAGGATCTACGGCTGGGAAGAGTGTGTAACTCTGGGGTGGATCGGTTTGGGCTCCTGGCAGGCCCGTCTAAAGTAGGGCCGCTCTTGGTGGGAGCTGACTTGTGCAAGAAAATGTCGGTCAATGCATGCCTGTGTTCCTTTCGGCTCCCGCATCGCAAGCCACAGCAGCCGCAGGTTCCCCAATCGTCACGGAAACGAGAAAAAGCAAGTAAGTCGCTCACATCTCGCGTGATAAGTCTCTTGGTGCAGGCCGAGAGCTTCGGAACTCCAGCTAAACATGAAAGTACAGTGGTGCAAAATCAGGACACCCACAAACTTTAGAGTAAGATTAAGGGCCCTACATATTGTGGCAACTTGAAATGCGAGCCCAGGAGCAGTTTGCCCTTTCCGACACCGGCCGCCTGCGGATGGGTTTTCTTTTTGAATGTGTGTATATGTACGGATACGGTACCCTCCGCCCCCACGACCCACATCAAAGCTACATGGTAGGTATATGTACATACTTGTACATATATTGGACCGAAGACGCTTGATCCCGTACCTGCGAATTTGCTCGTTACCCACTGCGTTCGCCTTCGCTGTACATCGTTTCCCTGACTTGCATAAGAAGCCCGGCTTGGCCGCAGAATCGAGCTGTTGGATCTTCAGTGCCTAAAGCTCGGAGTCCGAATTACACGCGCTTGCGGATATCTAAGTCTCACTTAAAAATCTTTTTGTTTTGCGTGTGTGCGTGTTAATGGAGTTTAGGGTCTGGGTTGGGGCTCAAAAATTTCGCTATAAGTGTTCAGCTCTTGGTTTAGGGTTTAGTGCTTCGGGACCCCATGTGTGATAACTTTACGGTATACTCTTCATTCAGGTGCTATTAGATGCTACCGAAAAAATGCACTGGAATTTCTCTTCTGTTGGTAGCTGGACGGAGCCTGAACCAACTTCATTGCTTTGGAAAAGCTGGAAGCTCGGGCCGGGCCGCAATGGCAAGCTCAAAGACCCCGATCACACTGTCGAAAAGCTTGGAAATGCAGCCTTGCTTCAGGCCATCTGTGCCCAACGCACATCAAACGAATCTTTACGATTCTGGAGTTTCCACAACGATTCGTTCAAAAGATCGTCGTTAGTGAAACTTCAACATTTCTCACTTTGCAGACACGACATTCGCGACTGTGAATGTCTGACGTGGTAAGCGACAGTAGCTGCTGGTGGATGAAACAAAGTTATCGCAGGCTCAAGTGCTTCGTCCCAGCAGTTCATCCAACAGTCTGTCACGCGCCTCGGACCCCCGGTTGGGGGCTCTGAGCGTAAACCATAGGCTGTGAACATAACAGCTTTTGCACCTAAAAACTTTGTGCTTGGGTCCAACGGTACCTTGGCTTGGTCCTTCTTGTGATCAAGCCTCGATAAACCAACTAGGGGTCGAGTATCCCAAGACTATCCAATAACTAGTAGGGTTTCAGGCGCAAAACCAAATGCAACAAAACCTCAAAGTATACATAGTATGTGCTGCTAGTAGTTGGACCTTCTGGGAAGCAGTGTTTGAACATCTGCTCAACGAGATCCCCCCCATGAGCTTTAAGTTTCGTTTTTGGAGCCTAGGACGTCGACTGTCATCGGTTATTAAAAAGCGATAAAGTGACTATGAGGGGACGGTACTACTGCTTCTGCATACGCCTGTGTTCGCCTGTAGACTGCGTCCTGCTCCTGGTTAGGGGCTCAAGTTAGAAACCTCGAAATGTACAGCAAAGACCGAGCTCTTATGATTTGCGTTAAAACCTCTCAGCATCTCAGCAACCAAAACAAATAAACTCTTGTGATGGTGTCGAACCCCCTCAGTTCCTTAACAAGCATCCAATACATCATCTCAGCTTTCGTCGGGCTTTGATGCGCCTCCAGTCGGGGTCCAGCTGCCAGAGCTGTTTCAGCATCACATCCTTGCTGAGCGGCTTACGGTTCAAGGTTTTGACGACGGTTTAGGGTTTGCTAATAGCGACATGGCCCGAGCAGGGAAGAAGCAATCGTGCGGGGTTTTTAAATGGCGCGCCACAGGCTGCTAGCTTCTTCTCTCGCATCAAAAGCTGCGGATGTGCATTTGATCACCACCGCAGCGAAATTCCACTCGTATGCCCGCTTCCCCGTGGCAGCTGATTTTGCTTCAAGGTTTCAATGCCGGTTTCGTGTTTGACAAGACCTAGTCACCTAGTCCATCAGCACTCGCTTGAGCGCATTTCTGCAAAACGAGCAAAACCTACCTTTTGTCCTGCTATGGCTTGAACATCAGGGCTTCAGCATGTACTGCTATACAACTGTACAAGATTGTACAAGTACACACTACATACAAGAGAAACTACAGGTAAGGCTCGAGAGTTTCTCGCACCCTCCTTGTAATGGATAGCTTGTTGCTCCCCCTGTTGCGCATTGGGCTCATAATGCATCACTTAGTCTTGCTCTTAAAGCAATACTTACAAAAGGCGAACCCCTTGATGTCGTCGGCTCTGTACAGTCCTTGACACCCAGGGTCAGTGTGGACTTTTCGTCCCTTGCGGCTCACAGAGAGCTTTCCGTGCGGGCATCTCTCACCCATGTAGATAACCACCTCTTGGTTTCCAAAATGGATACACTTACAAAGGCAAATGATCATCCCCACCATCATTGTGATGATGTTCAACGTGAAACTGAGCATGATGTAGGGCATCCACGAAGCAACGGTGTCACCCGCTCCATAAGAGATAAGATCCATTAGGTATCTCCCTCAGGGGCCGGTCTTTGGCTACAGCACCAACGAACTGCTTTGTGCTAAGCCTGGTGCACTGCTGCGGCTGCCACTTCTTCCAGCTTGCAAGTGCTCCAAACGATTGCATCGTGTCCTTTGAAACGTGCTTGTCCAGCCCTTGCTTGTCCAGGGTGACTAGACCAAGCATCTCCCTACCTTCTTCTGCTTCGGCTCCTGCGGCCAAATGTTTTGTCAAAGCGTTCGATGGGTTTTCAGTTCCTTTGATCTTCTGCACTATAACTCTCTTTTCTCTCACCAGTTCCTGGATGTACAGGTGTCCTAGATCTATGTACCTCATCTTTCCAACTCCAAGTCTCCTGGCGACTTGGATTGCTGCACTGCTGTCACAAAACAGTCGTGGCACATCTATTGTCATGCCAAAGTCTTCGACACCGAGGTTCCTCACAAACACCAAGTCCTGAGCGCACTGCGTTAGGGCTCGGACCTCTGCTTCGCCTGAGCTCGTAGCTGGGGTCCCCTGCTGCGTTCTAGCAGAGGTCCACGACAGTCCCTCCTAGGACTATCACCTGTCCACTTGTGCTTTTCCTGTCCTCCTTGTCTCCTGCCCAGTCGCTGTCACAGAATCCCTGAAGAGGAATCCCCGCGACCGGGTCAACCTGCTCGTCGAGCTTTGTCACGTGTCCAACCTGCATTGTGTCCCCTTCCAAGCACGATAAGGTTTTGCATGTCACACTCGCACGGGTCTCGGATCCGCTTTGCTAGCCCCTTGCAGGCAAACTTGATGTCTGGCCTGTCCTGTGATAGGTACGTTGCACTACCCACACAGCTTGCGTAGATCTCTTTCGCTTTGCCCTCGAGGGGCTTGTTGTCACTCAAGTTGAGCTTCTTCCCTGGCACTGGACTAGGCTTGGCGTTTTCAAGTCCCAGCATCCTCAGGATGTCTGTGGCATGCTTCCCATTCGGCAATGTTACAAAAGCATTCTCAACAAGGATCTTCTTCCTACCAAGAAACTCAGACGTGCTAGTGCTTGCTTCTCCTGGCCACTCAAGTTCTCCCATTTTCAGCTTACATCCACATTTTGGCAACTGCACTTGCAGCAAGTCCTGCAGTAAGTCAGCTGGTCCGCACACATCGAAATCATCGATATGGTGAACCAAAACTATGCCTGTACGCGTGCACCTAAACACGCAGGCATCAAGCTTTCCACGCTTGAAGCAGTATTTGTCCTTCGGCAGCTCCTTCGTCAGGATTTCCTCCAGCCTGTCTCTGTACTGGGCTGCTGCTGACTGCCTGCTGTACAGGTTCCCGTCAACCTGCCACAGGATTTCCTCCTTTGGCACTCCACGCATTTGCTCTTGGATCTCTGGCCTGGTTTTCGCAAACCATTCGTCATACTCTTCCAGGCATTCTTTTGGCCGTCGCATGAGCACCGGCTGCCCACGAGCGTCCCCGCCATCTCTGGCTATCAGAAATGCCGAACTGAGGTCGGCCTTCACTCTTGGCATCTTTGTCGCCAAAGAGTAAACCTCCAAAGGCTTGCGTGAGGTCGCGTGCGGCGTCGGACAAAAGTTCGAAGGGTACTCCGAACTGTGCTTCTCGTTGGCTTCCTGCTTCTTCTTGAAGTCCTGGCAAGTAAGTCTCGACTTAGCCACGCCTTCTGTCACCTTGTCAACCCACTTGTGACCGAAAACGGTCAGGTCCTTTGACTTCCTTCGGGTCCTCTTTGACTCTGCGGCGCTGCTTGCTCTTTCCTTGCCCCATCACACAAACAGGGCACCAAATTTCAAAGTTGGCATGGTGGAGGTTGTGCTCCGCCACTTCTGCAGCTGTTGGCTCCTTTGGTGCCTTGATCACTTTTACTTTCTTTTCGCCATCATCATCATCAATCATCAAACGATCCTCAGCGTCTTCATCATCTTCCACAATCCTCTCATGAGCTTCTTCTCCTTCAGCTGCTTCCTCCTCATAGGCCTGATCAAGACCTTGCATCCATTCATCCTCGTGCCTTGGCTGCTCCTCTGCAGCGTCTCCTTCCTCAGCCCTCTCAGGCTTCAACCTAAACCAAGTCTCTCCCATGCTTGAACTCTCTCATCGCATACCTCTTGTCTTCCCATATGCTGCGCGCTTTCGATCCTCTCCAACGGCACGGGAAGGTCTTCGACCCTCGGCGCGAAGAGTCTCTTCCGCGGGTTGTTGTACTCACGAATGAGGTACTCATCCCCATCCTTCACTTCTCGTTTCCACCTGTCAGGCTACACTCTCACACGCTCCAGAGTCGACAAGAAGATGCCTGTATCCAAGCCGCTCCGGCCCAACAGCCGAAACCACTATCACACACAGTGAAAATCACATCCTCGTCGCTCCATCTTGCAACGCGCTGCGTGCCCTCAAACACAGACCCTACTGCCGTGTTGCTACTGCTGGCGTTGTCCTTAGCGTTTCCAAAGCCACCGGTTCCACCGGTGTCTGTCGCAGCTTCCGTGTCCACTGCACCAACTTTCCACCAGCAATCAGTGGCAATGTGTCCATGCCTGTGGCATACGTGGCACTGCTTCCCCGCGTGTGGGTTGTTGCCTTTTCCTTTTCCTTCGCCTTGTTTTCCTTTTCCTTTTCCTTTGTCGCTTCCTCCCTTTCCCTTTCCTTCCTTCCCTTTCTTGCCTTTTCCTTTGTTGTCTTTGTTGTCCTAGTTTCCTTGCTCGTTCCACTTCTCCTTCTCCTTGTACTTCCAACTGTCGTTTCCTTTTCCTTCGCTTCGTTTTCCTTTCCCTTTTCCTTTGTCACCCTTCAGCGCTCCTATGTCCATGGGCCTTGGTCCTCCATCATCCGTTGGGTTCTCTGCGTTCTTGTTTGCTGCTTTTGTCAACCCAAACTGTGATCCTTGTGGTCGCTTTCAGAGGTTCCTGTTGATGAGATACTGTTCGATGTATTCTCGAATCTTGTTGCAACTGTCAAGGGCATCGCTATGCCTGAAAATGCTCTGCTGAAGCTCCTTCGGCGCAACATGAGCTAAGATCGACACCTTCTCGTCCTCAGAAAAGGCGGTCTTGTAAGTGCGCTCGAACTCGCGAAGCTCAGCTTCCCACTTGTGCAAAGCGGGTCTCCACTGGGAGATCTCGCTCGGAAACGTGGGGTTTGCTAAGTGCCTTCGCCAAACCCACGCCTTGGTCCGGTGAGCAGGCTCGCTCAAAATAACCAACCTTCTCCAAACCTCAAAGCCATCCGCATCCCGAAGCCCCTGCCCAACGACATTCATCGTGGGCTCAGGGCAGTACTGGATGAGAAAGGTGTACATGGCCTTAGCCAGTCGGCTCTCTTCTGAAGTGAAGGTGGACTCGTCCACCGGGTCCTTGCTCTTACCGTGCTTCTCCAGCAACTCAGGGTACCGTTCATGCACTGTGCTAGACCATGCTACAAACACATGCTTAAACTTTTCGCACTCATCTTTCTTTCCGTTGAAGGTGTGAGGTTTCGGGACATGACTAGGGTGTATCAGCTCTTTCTCTCTTCTTTGTGGGTTTCCTGTTGTTGCTGCTGCTGCGGCGGCTGCTGCTTGTTGTCCTTGTAACATTGCTTCGGCAGTCATTAACCTAGCTTCGGCCTCTGCTGCCCTCTTTTGTTGCTGCTCGTAGGCAACGTTGGCCCTTTGCAGGCCTTCGGTCAGCTCCTGTACACGCGCGGCAAGCCCTTCAAGGGTCGCCATCGCGAGAGCTGCAAAAGAAAAACTTTCTACTGTACAGATCTACACCGCTACAGGCGTCTACGCCGAGGTCTGCAACAACCTAGGTTGCCGCAAAAGCTCGGCGGTATCACCCGCTCTAACGGTGCCAACCCGTTTGGTAAGCTGCCGTAGTCTTCTCCAGTCGTGGCGCCTGGTGCGGTGTTGCCTGGCGCCGCCAACCCACTGAAGAGGCTCGGCTTTCGTACCCAACGCTGCTGCTCGCAGCCCTTGTCTCCGACTTGACCTTGTTCTCGCCGGAACTTTCCTCGCTCTTGGCCTGCTGCTCGTCCTCAGAAGACGAACAGTACACTGTCGTTGGCACGTGCGTCGCGGTCTCACCGGCCACCGTTACAGCTGGCTCTGTCCAGCTCCACTCGGTAGGCGGTATCACCCGCGAGGCCTGCCTTGCCTCGAAGGTTTCGTTCTCACCCCGTCCTGCCTCTGCACCAGAAGAGCTTCCCGATGTGGTTCTTCTGGTAGT